TCTGTACTCCCCGGCGTCCTGAATCGCGTAACGCCGCTGCAGCAGCAGCAGCAGCAGCAGCAACAACAACAGCAGCAACAGCAACCGTGGCCCCAAGAACTGCTGTTACACCATCAGAGCTATCAGCAGCAGCAGCAGCAGCAGCAGCAGCAGCAGCAGCCCAAGCTGGATCTTATTCTGGTGCAGCCGCCTCGCTATGAAAAGGAAACAGCAGCAGCAGCAGCAGCAAGTGCTGCTGCTGTTGCTGCTGCTGCAGGTTCTCAGGTTGATGCTGACAGGAAAGATGATGCGGCAGCAGCCGCAGTTGCAGGCGACGCTGCAGCAGCTGAATCGGGGGGGTTAGAAGAGCAGCTGGCGCTGCTGCGGGTTGCTGCAGCAGCAAAAGATGCAGCACTAAGCGTAGTAAGGAGACACAGAAAGAAACAAACGCAGACAGAGAGAGACATACAGAGATAAATAAAGAGATATAAATAAATAAAAACAAACAAAAAGAAAATAAACAGAAAGAGACAAAAAACAAAGATGAAGAAAAAGGGGGAGGCAGCAACAGACCAGAGTCAACAGACAGCCATAGACAGAGACAGACGTAGCAGCAGCAGCAGCAGCAGCAGCAGCAGCAGCAGCAGCAGCAGCAGCAGCAGCAGCAGCAGCAGCAGGGTTTAGTGTTTAGGGTGTTTATAGGGCTAAAGGTTTATTGTTTGCGGGTTAGGGTTTAGGGTTTAGGGTTTAGGGTTTAGGGTTTTATGTGTGTTTTTGCTGCTGCACAGGAGAGACAGCAGCGGCAGCAGCTGCAGCTGGAGCTGGCTGAGGCACGTAGGGATCTGCTGCAGCAGCAGCAGCAGCAGGAGGAGCAGCAGCAGCAGCAGCAGTTTCTGCTGCCTCATCTGGGTGTTGGTGTTGATATACAGCAGACACAGACACACAGGCTGCAGCAGCAGCTGCTGCAGAAGGAGCAGCAGCTGCGAGGCCTTGCTGCAGCTCTTGATAGCTTCAGGGCGCAGAGTAGAGCAGCAGCAGCAGCACTGCAGCAGCAGCTGCAGCAGGCATTTGAACGGGTGGCAGAGGTATGCTGCTGCTGTTGCTGCTGCTGTTGCTGCTGCTGTTGCTGCTGTGCTGCTGCTGCAGTTGCTGCTGTTGCGTGGTTATTCTTTTTCGTTGCTGCAGCAGCACCGAAGTCTACTGCAGCGGCAGGGAGAATGCTGCTGCTTCTGCTGCTGCTGCTGGTTTATGTTGCTGCTTGCTGCTGCGTGTGCTGCTGTTTGCTGCTGCAGGCAGAAGCTGAAGCAGCAGAGAGACAGAGACAGACGCAGCAGCTGCAGCAGCAGACCTCGTCATTGGAGCAGCAGCTTGCAGCACTGCAGCAGCAGCACGCTGCTGCTGCTGCGACGCGAGACGCCC